GCACAATCACAATCACAGCACCAGCACAATCACAGCACCAGCGCAACACGAGCACAACAATCACAGCACCAGCGCAACAATCACAGCACCAGCACAATCACAGCACCAGCGCAACACAAGCACCAGCGCAACACGAGCACAATCACAGCACCAGCGCAACACGAGCACAATCACAAGCACAACAATCACAGCACCAGCACAATCACAATCACAACACAGGCACAATCACAATCACAAGCACAGCACAATCAGCTGTCGCTCTCACCTCAGCCGCACGAGACCGCCAGAGATCTGCACGGAGTCGCGGTCATCGTCTGTCATGACGTGGGGACCGTGTGTCATCACCGCTGGTATTTCGATCAGGCTCTCCGTTCCTCCAAGCGACACGGCCAGCGCAACGTGGTGCAGGCTCTGCAAGAACCGACAGAGTTACACACACCACACGCAAGCACGCACGCACACACACGCACACACACACACACACTGGCGAAATTGTCTCGTTCAGATTTTAGCAAACGTGAAACAATATTATTATGCCATTCTAAGGTCGTGTAAGTACTTTCTTTCGTGTAACGAGAGAAGTCGGGTGTTATAGTGAACGGGGCGAGTTATGTTTAGCCACTGTGACAGTAGACCTAATGCATCGCTGATAAGTGTTTGCTTGATATTGCTTTTGAGCTTACCTCTACTAAAATCTTTGCACCTTCATAGCCACTCGCAACTTCAAACGACATAATGCCGCTATAACCAGAAGTCAGGAGTTTCTTTGCAACGTCGTGATAGGGGAACGACGGCAGACCTGGGTACATCACGCGAGAGATCTACGAAGAACATGAAATACCAAGCTTTCAGCAACAAGCTATCACCGTATATATGGTACATTTAATAGAATACAACAGTTGTCGACACAAAAACTGAATAACACACTTGCTTTGATGTGCATAGCAATAAAGACGCAGTCAGTAAAAATTCAGTATTCATTTATCGTAATCTTTGCCAAAAATGATATAGGCGCTTTGTAGGTTACACTGGGGTTTGCCATGGTTTGTGTTAGACCATTGTATCTCACGTTCACGATGAAAATTACATTACTCGTGAGCGGAGCTGGGAGTGACATTTCTTCTATTGCTAGTGAGTGATAGTCTGGTCCAGGATAAACAGGTATAAGAACTTATATTCTAGAGCCACATAAAAACAATCTCATTCCCGTTTGAGCAACAGTTACTAGATGGATATATATATCAGGAGTGTATAATAATGGACTATTATTATTATTAGTATTATTACTGATATATATATATATGTGCGCTGAAATTAAAAATGTAATAATGAAATCCAGCGTATCACATAGTAAGCTTTATCATCTTACGAGTAACGCGTACCTTAGGGTGATCTTCAAGAAACTCAGCAAGTTTCATTGCGTTTTGAGAATGCACTGCCATACGTAGTGGTAGAGTCTTCAGCCCTCTTTGCAGTATACTGGCTGAAAAGGGCGACTTTGAAAAAAATCAAAATCAATGGAGATTTGCGTTAACAAAACAGTATTTCAAAGTGTTTTTTATTCGATGACACATAAATGCAGGCCATTATTTCTTAGTTATTCAATCAATTAGATAGTTGTTTGGGTTTTATGTATTCATTTATATATTAATTTATTTATATTAATTAACTAATCTCTTTATTTATTTATTTAAATGTTTAGTCTGATATATATATGAGGCGCCGAAATAGCATGTTTGTGTTGGCTAACAACCGCTTACCAGGTGCACCCCGAACGCAAGGGACCTGGTAAAACCTCAAACGTCACACTTCCTTCGTTATTCGTAGGTATTTCACACACAGTAAATAATGCAGAGGGAGTAAATAGGCGGTATTCGTGTGCGGGCGGAGAAGAACATACCACTAATGTTCCACATATATTTGCGATGGTCTGCAGCTTCTTCCATTGGTCGACCGTGCTTGTCGTCACGCAGCCAGCAATGACGTCACTGTGTCCACCCATGTACTTTGAGCTGTACAGCGAAAGTGACCGAATAATAATTGTTCTACTGTTTCTAAACGGGCCGTAATTTTCGCTGCCGTAATCGAACGTAGTTTTAGTTCTTGCAACAAGCAAAACGGATGATATACGTCGCCATACGAACATCCAGTTGCATCAGAAATATCGTGTGAGTCGTTATTGGTATTAATTAATACAGTGAGATTAGGTGAAACATAGATACTACCCCAAGTATTGGGGTACCCTTGAGGTAGTATCTATGGATGAAAGATGGCTGTAGAAAACAGCCAGGAGACGTAAGAGAGTGGAGACAATAGCCGTGTACCAGCTGTGGACAACTATGTCTATGCCGAGTTTTAGAGGCTGAAGCAACGTGGGCGACACAAAAGTGGCATCGACGACCGTCAGAATGTCACGGCTCTTGCCCTCCGCAGCCAGAGCTTCCAGATCGACCATTTTCATCAATGGATTAAGCATCACCTCCGAGAATATCATCTGAAGCAAACCAGCGCCAACTCGTAATGTACATGGTAAAAATATATCACTCCTATAAAATCATATAAAAGCTTCCGATGTAGTTTTGTCGTGGGCAGGCACAATGTTACCAGTACTGTTTTTTATGCTATATCGTGGATGCTTATACGTTTTTTATCATTTTAGTCCGTTCCCTATTTATAATATGTCCATGTTGTGTCAGTAACGTTTCTAGTGTTCTTACGGTCAAAAACGGGACAATGCCAATCACAAAGTGCATATATATATATATATATATATATATATATATAGT